AGCAGAGAGGACTCTTTAAAGTAGAGACACTACATACTGATATACACCTGAACATCAGCAGGAGAGGACTCTTTAAAGTAGAGACACTACATACTGATATACACCTGAACATCAGCAGGAGAGGACTCTTTAAAGTAGAGACACTACATACTGATATACACCTGAAATCAGCAGGAAGGACTCTTTAAAGTAGAAGACACTACATACTGATATACACTGAACATCAGCAGGAGAGGACTCTTTAAAGTAGAGACACTACATACTGAATACAACTGAACATCAGCAGGAGAGGACTCTTTAAAGTAGAGACACTACATACGACTGAACATCAGCAGGAGAGGACTCTTTAAGTAGAGACACTACACACACTGAACTGATTAGATGATGTGTTTTTGGTTTATTAACAAGTTATAAAAAATAACAAACATCAAGAGCGCAGAAACATCAGTTTTTTAAAATGTAAAATTTAAGGCGTTTTAGTCCAAATTCTTAGAGTTTTCTGCGTTTTCTGCACTGAAAATGTGCACTGTCCCTTTAACAAAGAGAGGCCTGTGATTGGCTGAGAAATGAAATAAAAAAAGAGAAAGTGAAGTGCTTAAAACCTTTTTATAATAAATGATTTAAACTAAACAAATATAAACTGTAGTGAGACCTTAATTAAATCCATGATACACGCACACGCACGCGCACGCACACGCACACCCACACACACACACACACACACACACACACACACACACACACACACACTTATAAAGATTGTGCACAGACGAGCTCAACTTTGGCATTCAGAATTAAAAATAATAATTAAGAGATAATAAAATGTTCTTCAGGTTTTAAATAAAGATTGTCACGTTTGATTGTAAAAGATAAAAATGTTCAGGGCTCCATCACGGATCCCAGCGACGCCCTGGACCCCGGGTCTGCTTTTATTTTGGCGGGACTCGGTTGGTCTGCTCTTATTTTGGCAGGGCGTGTTCCTCCTCTTGCTGCGGGGCTGCTGATTGGACGAGCCAAGCTGCACCAGAACCACTGGGATCTCCTCCAGAGACTCAGCTGAGTCAGAGTGGTACTCCGAGGGGGGGGCGGCCGCCTGCACAGGGGGGGGGGGCTCTCAGAGGGCATGCTGGGAACTGTAGTCTCTGAGACGAGGAGGAATTGGACACCATGCAGGGCTCTGTGGACAAGACACACACACACACACAGACATACACACACACACACACACACACACACACACACACACACACACACACACAGACATACACACACACACACAGTTTTAACGTGTGTTGATAAGTGTGAGCAATGCATTGTGGGATATGGAGTCCACAGGTACCTGGTGGGGGGGGGGATGGTGATCTCTGCAGGAACTTTACGGACCCTCTTTTTCTTCTTCTGCGGAAACACAAACACCCTGTCACTGTCCAATCAGGAGGCAGCATTCATATTTGACGTTATTATTTATGTGTGTGTGTGTGTGTGTACCTGTGTGCGTCGCTGTGTGTGTGTACCTGTGTGCGTCGCTGTGTTTGTGTACCTGTGTGCGTCGCTGTGTGTGTGTACCTGTGTGCGTCGCTGTGTGTGTGTACCTGTGTGCGTCGCTGTGTGTGTGTGTACCTGTGTGCGTTGCCGTGTGTGTGTGTACCTGTGTGTCGCTGTGTGTGTGTGTACCTGTGTGCGTCGCTGTATGTGTGTGTTGGTGTGTGTACCTGTGTGCGTCGCTGTTTGTGTGTGGGGGGGGGGCGTCCTCCTCCGCGACAGCACCAGAAACGGTCCTCACTTTGCTGTTAGACAGGAACCTACATACACACGGAATATTATCATGTATTAGTAACAGGGTTATGATCTAACAACATATAAGTGGTCAGTGCTGACCCCTCCTTACACACAGAGTCTAAACACAGCCCCCTCCCTGCAGCTCACACACACACACACACACACACACACACACACCAACCGGCCGTTACCATGGACACACACACACAGAGCAAACAGTGTGTGTGTGAGAGGAACACTCACCCTGGCCTCCCCTCCCTGCAGCTCCAGCTGAGGGTTGGTGTAGCCCAGGGTCCCTGGTGAGGTCACTTCCTGTGGGGAAGGGCAGAGAGTTACACACACTGCACACACACGCACGCACGGACGCACACACCGCACGCACGCACACACACACACACACTGCACACACACCACACACACACACACACACACACACACACACACACACACACACTGCACACACACACACACTGAAAAAACGGAGTCAGAATTTTTTGATTTTCAGAAAAAAATCTGAATGTAGAGAGAAAGTCGCAAATGTAAGAGTTTTTGAAAAAAGGTCAAGATTTTTACATTTTCAGAAAATAGTTGCAATTTGAAGAGTTCCTGAATTTTCTGAAAAAAGTCAGACTTTTAAGATTTCTAGTTTTTTCAGAAAAGAGTCCGAATTTTTTGAGAAAAAAAAGTTGAATTGAAGAAAAAATGTTGGTATAATTTGTGAAAAACAAAAAATACTTAATATTTTGTCCAAAAAGTTGGACTATTTTTGGACAACAAGTTGGAATAGTGTGTTATAAAAGTCGGCCAATATTTTGAGATAAAGTCGGAAAAGATTTTGAGAAAAAGGTCGGAGTAGTTTGTGAAAACATTTTGGGAATATTTTTGGGAAATATTGGAATCTGAGAACAAAACATCGTCATATTTTGAGAAGAATTGTCTGTGTACTGAGTAAAAACAGTTGTAGTATTTTGGGGAAAAATATGAATATTTGAGAAAAAATGACACCTTATTGAGTCCTGAGGGAGCTCTGTCTCCTCCCTGCTGACGGTGACGCTGCCTCACGATGTACTCAAAGGTGCTGAGTCTGTTCCACACTGCACCATCAAGAGAGACACTGTTAGCTGTGTGTGTGTGTGTGTGTGTGTGTGTGTGTGTGTGTGTGTGTGTGCTCACTGAGGTAGATGTGGAAGCACAGCAGGTGGCAGAGCAGCACAGAGGACAGCAGCGAGAGGACGATGGTGACGGCAGCGAGAGAGGGAATCACTGCTGCTGCAGAGCGGAGAGTGAGAGAGAGGCAGGAAGAGGAAACCAGGTCTCATTACGACCTACACACACACACACACACACCACACACACACACACACACACACACACACACAATAGGTCAGTAATACCCACTTCATTTCCATGTCAAAAAAGTCACAGTTTGTCGTAAAACTGTTGAAATATAAGACTATGAAAAATACGTAACTAGAAAGACTACAAATCCCAGAGTCGCGTAAGTGATGTCACAATTGTTTTCCTCCACTAAGAGATAGCTAAGATCAGCGCCATATAGATATAATCTATCTATATGGCGCTGGCTAAGATAAGATAACTTTAACAAGATGCCTGTGTGCTTAGTACCAGGTTGTTATCATACCAGCAATGGGTCTTGCTCGTTCTTTGCTTCCCGTCTGATGAAAGAGGAGTGTCTGGATCAAGCTAGCTAGTAGCTAGCACGTTAGTTAGCATTACAGCCTTCAAGGTTCTTTATTCTTTATTGTCAAATCTGACATAGCTACAGAGTAATTATGGCAGTTGAAAATCTTATGTCACAGGCTTCTCCAACAATGCAACATAATAACATAACATAATAACAATAAGAGCAAGAGCAATACAAAAATAATAATAGGTTATAAAAAGGAAATAAAGTTATGATGTGGAATAGTGCAGTATGTCATTTTATTAGCCTTAACTGAAGTAACATTAAGTAACCCAAAGTGTAAACAGTAAGAGTAGTAGTCATATTTCGTGAACCTTTGAAGAGTACTGTCACAACCGGTGTGATCATTCTATAATACACAATTTAAAGCAGGGGAGAAATGACTAACGCTAACGCTATCGAGCTTCTCTACTCTCATGCTATCTGCACAAATGGTTTGACATTAAACATATAAACGACAGGCAGTTCAGAGAGAATCAAAGGAAGGCAGCATGCAGCTTTGGCATGACATTCTTCAGACGTGTTTCATTGTGGTGATAGTGAGGGTAGTCAAATCGTTTTGTTGACAAGACAGTAGTGACGGCCATCTTGGTGACGTGTGTTGTTGACCAGAGATGTAGTTCATTGAGCGTTTCACACAAACAAATGTGTTAGCTTCACAGTTTTACCACACATTTTATTTTTTTGACTTGCAAAATTATCTTTATTAATTGACAAACATCATATGTGTAATTCGTGGCTAATTCAAACGGGATCGAAAGATAATCTTTCTCTCTCCATTGACTTCAATACATCATTTCTTCTCCGAAATAAGGTCCCATGGAGGTCACCTGGAAGGGGAGGGGGACTTCACCCAACCTTAGCCACCTTTTAGCTAGCGGTGGTGACGTGAAGTCATGTGACCGTGCTGGTAGTTCCTCTATAGCCCACCTTAGCCACCTTTAGCTTAGCGGTGTTGACGTGAAGTCATGTGACCGTGCTGTAGTTCCTTTATAGCCCAACATTAGCCGCCTTTAGCTTAGCGGTGGTGACGTGAAGTCATGTGACCGTGCTGTAGTTCCTGAATACCCAACATTAGCCACCTTTAGCTTAGCGGTGGTGACGTGAAGTCATGTGACCGTGGCTGTAGTTCCTTTATAGCCCAACATTAGCCGCCTTTAGCTTAGCGGTGGTGACGTGAAGTCATGGTGACACGTGCTGTAGTTCCTTTATACCAACATTACCTCCTTAGCTTAGCGGTGGTGACGTGAAGTCATGTGAACCGTGCTGTAGTTCCTTTATAGCCCCACAGTAGCCTCCTTTAGCTTAGCGGTGGTGACGTGAAGTCATGTGACCGTGCTGTAGTTCCTTAATAGCCCAGACATTAGCCTCCTTTAGCTTAGCGGTGGTGACGTGAAGTCATGTGCCGTGCTGTAGTTCCTTAATAGCCCAACATATTAGCCTCCTTTAGCTTAGCGGTGGTGACGTGAAGTCATGTGACCGTGCTGTAGTTCCTTTATAGCCCAACATTAGCCACCTTTAGCTAGCGGTGGTGACGTGAAGTCATGTGACCGTGCTGTAGTTCCTCTATAGCCCAACATTAGCCCCTTTAGCTTAGTGGTGGTGACGTGAAGTCATGTGACCGTGCTGTATTCCTTAATAGCCCAACATTAGCCTCCTTTAGCTTAGCGGTGGTGACGTGAAGTCATGTGACCGTGCTGTAGTTCCTCTATAGCCCAACATTAGCCTCCTTTAGCTTAGGCGGTGTGACGTGAAGTCATGTGACCGTGCTGTAGTTCCTCTATAGCCCAACATTAGCCACCTTTAGCTTAGGCGGTGGTGACGTGAAGTCATGTGACCGGGCTGTATTTTACATGACATTACATTACATTACATTTAGCTGAGGCTTTTCTCAAAAAGAGACTTACAAATAAGTGCATTCGACCAGGAAGATACAAACTTGAAGAAAACAGAATCATATAAGTACATCAGGTTTCATAGAGCCAAAAACATTTCAAGTGCTACTCAACTAGCTTAGATAAGCCAGTGCTTTATTAGTATATAAGTGCTTTGTTAGTAATTCTATCGCTCGAAGTGGAGTCTAAAGAGATGAGTTTCAGTCTGCTCAGGAAGATGTGTGAGCTTTCCTGCTGTCCTGATGTCAATGGGGAGCTCATTCCACCATGTTGGAGCCAGGATATCAAACACCACGTGTTTCTGCTGATGGGAACATTGGGTCCCCCTCGCAGTGCGGGTGCAAGCGAGCCGTTTGCTGATGCAGAGCGGAGTGCACGTGCTGGGGTGTACAGTTTAAAACCATGTCCTGGATGTAGGAAGGGCCAGATCCATTCACAGCATGGTACGCAAGTACCAGTGTCTTGAAGTGGATTCTAGCAGTTACTGGAGCCAGTGAAGGGAGCGGAGGAGCGGGGTGGGAACATTTAGGAAGGTTGAAGACCAGACGAGCCGCTGCATTCTGGATGAGCTGCAGAGGTGGGATGGCACATGCAGTAGACCAGCCAGGAGGGAGTTGCAGTAGTCTAGGCGTGAGATGACGAGAGCCTGGACCAGAACCTGCTTTCTGGTCAGGAGGGGACGTATCCTCCTGATGTTGGAAAGAGTGTATCTGCAGCAGCGGGTTGTAGCATGCGATGTTTGCAGTGAAGGACAGGTTGTTATCTAGGGGTCCACCCAGATTCCTTGCAGTCTGAGTCGGGGAAACAACAGAGGGGGCCGATGTTGATTGTTAGGGTCAAGAGTGGGACAATCTTTTCCCGGAAGGAAAAGCAGTTCAGTCTTGTCAAGGTTGAGCTTGAGGTGGTGAGCAGAGATCCACTGAGAGATGTTTGCTAGACAAGCAGAGATGGCGTGCGACGACCTGGGTTTCTGAGCTGTGGGGAAAGGGACAGAATGAATTGGGTGTCGTCAGCGTAGCAGTGGTATGAAAAACCATGCGGGCTAATGACTGATCCGAGCGAGTTTGTGTACAAGGAGAAGAGGAGGGGACCAAGGAAAAGAGCCCTGAGGGAACCCCTGTAAGTGAATTGACAAGGGTCTGACTCGGACCCTCTCCAAGTTACCCTGTAGGTACGGTCTTTGAGGTATGAGGTGAGGAGGGAAAGTGCAGAGCCTGAGACTCCAAGTTCTTGGAGAGTGCGAAGGAGGATCTGATGGTTCACCATGTTGAATGCAGCAGACAGGTCCAACAGGATGATGACAGAGGAGAGGGAGGCTGCTTTAGCCGTGTGTAGTTCCTCAGAGACAGGAGAGCAGTTTCTGTGGAGTGACCTGCCTTGAAACATTAACCTCCTTTAGCTTAGGCGTGGTGACGTGAAGTCATGTGACCGTGCTGTAGTTCTCTAATAGTACAACCTTAGCCACCTTTAGCTTAGCTGTGGTGACGTGAAGTCATGTGACCGTGCTGTAGTTCCTTTATAGCCCAACATTAGCCTCCTTTAGCTTAGCGGTGGTGACGTGAAGTCATGTGACCGTGCTGTATTTCCTTTATAGCCCCAACATTAGCCTCCTTTAGCTTAGCGGTGGTGACGTGAGTCATGTGAACCGTGCTGTAGTTCCTTTATAGCCCAACATTAGCCACCTTTAGCTTAGCTGTGGTGACGTGAAGTCAATGTGACCGTGCTGTATTTCACTTTATAGCCCAACATTAGCCTCCTGTAGCTTAGCGGTGGAGACGTGAAGTCATGGTGACCGTGCTGTATTTCCTTTATAGCCCAACATTAGCCACCTTTAGCTTAGCGGTGGTGACGTGAAGTCATGTGACCGTGCTTAGTTCCTTTATAGCCCACATTAGCCACCTTGTAGCTTAGCTGTGGTGACGTGAAGTCATGTGACCGTGCTGTATTGCCTTTATATAGCCCACATTAGCCACCTTTAGCTTAGCGGTGGTGACGTGAATCATGTGACCGTGCTGTAGTTCCTTTATCGCCGCAACATTAGCCACCTTTAGCTTAGCGGTGGTGACGTGAAGTCATGTGACCGTGCTGTAGTTCCTTTATAGCCCAACATTAGCCTCCTTTAGCTTAGCGGTGGGTGACTGAAGTCATGTGACCGGGCTGTATTTTACATTACATTACATTACATTACATTTAGCTGAGGCTTTTCTCCAAAGAGACTTACAATAAGTGCATTCGACCAGGAAGATACAAACTTGAAGAAAACAGAATCATATAAGTACATCAGGGTTTCATAGAGCCAAAACATTTCAAGTGCTACTCAACTAGCTTAGATAAGCCTGTCCTTTGTTAGTATATAAGTGCTTTGTTAGTAATTCTATCGCTCGAAGTGGAGTGAAAGAGATGAGTCTTCAGTCTGCTCAGGAAGATGTGGTGAGCTTTCTGCTGTCCTGATGTCAATGGGGAGCTCATTCCACCATGTTGGAGCCAGGATAGCAAACCCACGTGTTTCTGCTGATGGGAACTTGGGTCCCCCTCGCAGTGCGGGTGCAGCAGGCCGTTTGGCTGATGCAGAGCGGAGTGCACGTGCTGGGGTGTACAGTTTAACCATGTCCTGGGATGTAGGAAGGGCCAGATCCATTCACAGCATGGTACGCAAGTACCAGTGTCTTGAAGTGGATTCTAGCAGTTACTGGAAGCCAGTGAAGGGAGCGGAGGAGCGGCGTGGTGTGGGAACATTTAGGAAGGTTGAAGACCAGACGAGCCGCTGCATTCTGGATGAGCTGCAGAGGTGGGATGGCACATGCAGGTAGACCAGCCAGGAGGGAGTTGCAGTAGTCTAGGCGTGAGGTGGTGATGTGAAGTCATGTGACCCTGCTGTAGTTCCTTTATAGCCCAACATTAGCCTCCTTTAGCTTAGCGGTGGTGACGTGAAGTCATGTGACCGTGCTGTAGTTCCTTTATAACCCAACATTAGCCACCTTTAGCTTAGCGGTGGTGACGTGAAGTCATGTGACCCGTGCTGTAGTCCTTTATAACCCAACATTAGCCACCTTTAGCTTAGCGGTGGTGGCGTGAAGTCATGTGACCAGTGCTGTAGTTCCTTTATAACCCAACATTAGCCACCTTTAGCTTAGGGCGGTGGTGGCGTGAAGTCATGTGACCGTGCTGTAGTTCCTTTATAGCCCAACATTAGCCACCTTTAGCTTAGCGGTGGTGACGTGAATTCATGTGACCATGCTGTAGTTTCCTTTATAGCTCAACATTAGCCACCTTTAGCTTAGCGGTGGTAGTATAATTATATTTTCTTTCTGCTAAATCTCTGGATCTCTTCTGATTCGTTGAGAGTCTTACCCAGGAAGTGTTTGTCAGTCCTCAGTTTGGACGGGTCCAGGAAGAACTCGATGAAGACGTACGAGGACAGAACCAGAACCAGAAACACTCCCAACAGAGCGGAGACCACACTGTGCAGGAACAACCTGTAATAGAAGAAGAACTCACTTGTAGTTCCTGCTCTCCACAGTGTTTATAACAGTAGAAGAAGAACTCACTTGTAGTTCCTGCTCCCCACACAGTGTTTATAACAGTAGAAGAAGAACTCACTTGTAATTCCTGCTCCCCACACAGTGTTTATAACAGTAGAAGAAGAACTCACTTGTAGTTCCTGCTCCCCACAGTGTTTATAACAGTAGAAGAAGAACTCACTTGTAGTTCCTGCTCCCCACAGTGTTTATAACAGTAGAAGAAGAACTCACTTGTAGTTCCTGCTCCACACAGTGTTTATAACAGTAGAAGAAGAACTCACTTGTAGTTCCTGCTCCCCACACAGTGTTTATAACAGTAGAAGAAGAACTCACTTGTAGTTCCTGCTCCCACACAGTGTTTATAACAGTAGAAGAAGAACTCACTTGTAGTTCCTGCGCCACACAGTGTTATAACAGTAGAAGAAGAACTCACTTGTAGTTCCTGCTCCCACACAGTGTTTATAACAGTAGAAGAGAGAACTCACTTGTAGTTCCTGCTCCCCACACAGTGTTTATAACAGTAGAAGAAGAACTCACTTGTAGTTCCTGCTCCCACACAGTGTTTATAACAGTAGAAGAAGAAACTCACTTGTAGTTCCTGCTCCACACAGTGTTGTATAACAGGTAGAAGAATAACTCACTTGTAAGTTCCTGCTCCCGACATGTTTATAAACAGTAAGAAGAAGAACTCACTTGTAGTTCCTGCTCCCCGACACTGTTTATAACAGTAGAAGAAGTAACTCACTTGTAGTTCTGCTCCCCACAGTGTTTATAACAGTAGAAGAAGAACTCACTGTAGTTCCTGCTCCCCACAGTGTTTATAACAGTAGAAGAAGAACTCACTTGTAGTTCCTGCTCCCCACACAGTGTTTATAACAGTAGAAGAAGAACTCACTTGTAGTTCCTGCTCCCCACACAGTGGTTTATAACAGTAGAAGAAGAACTCACTTGTAGTTCCTGCTCCACACAGTGTTTATAACAGAAGAAGAACTCACTTGTAGTTCCTGCTCCCCACAGTGTTTATAACAGTAGAAGAAGAACTCACTTGTAGTTCCTGCTCCACACAGTGTTTATAACATTAGAAGAAGAACTCACTTGTAGTTCCTGCTCCACACAGTGTTTATAACAGTAGAAGAAGAACTCACTTGTAGTTCCTGCTCCCCACACAGGTGTTTATAACAGTAGAAGAAGACTCACTTGTAGTTCCTGGCTCCCCACACAGTGTTTATAACAGTAGAAGAAGAACTCACTTGGTAGTTCCTGCTCCACACAGTGTTTATAACAGAAGAAGAACTCACTTGTAGTTCCTGCTCCACACAGTGTTTATAACAGAAGAAGAACTCACTTGTAGTTCCTGCTCCCCACAGTGTTTATAACAGTAGAAGAAGAACTCACTTGTAGTTCCTGCTCCACACAGTATTTATAACAGTAGAGAAGAACTCACTTGTAGTTCCTGCTCCACACAGTGTTTATAACAGTAGAAAGAAAGAACTCACTTGTAGTTCCTGCTCCCCACACAGTGTTTATAACAGTAGAAGAAGAACTCACTTGTAGTTCCTGCTCCCCACACAGTGTTTATAACAGTAGAAGAAGAACTCACTTGTAGTTCCTGCTCCACACAGTGTTTATAACAGAAGAAGAACTCACTTGTAGTTCCTGCTCCCCACAGTGTTTATAACAGTAGAAGAAAGAACTCACTTGTAGTTCCTGCTCCACACAGTGTTTATAACAGTAGAAGAAGAACGCACTTGTAGTTCCTTGCTCCACACAGTGTTTATAACAGTAGAAGAAGAACTCACTTGGTAGTTCCTGCTCCCCACACAGTGTTATAACAGTAGAAGAAGAACTCACTTGTAGTTCCTACGCTATACACACAGTGTTTATAACAGTAGAAGAAGAACTCACTTGTAGTTCCTGCTCCACACAGTGTTTATAATAGTAGAAGAAGAACTCACTTGTAGTTCCTGCTCCCCACACAGTGTTTATAACAGTAGAAGAAGAACTCACTTGTAGTTCCTGCTCCCCACAACAGTGTTTATACAGTAGAAGAAGAACTCACTTGTAGTTCCTGCTCCACACAGTGTTTATAACATAGTAGAAGAAGAACTCACTTGTAGTTCCTGCTCCCCACACAGTGGTTTATAACAGTAGAAGAAGAACTCACTTGTAGTTCCTGCTCCCCACCACAGTGTTTATAACAGAAGAAGAAGACTCACTTGTAGTTCCTGCTCCCCACATGTTTTATACAGTAGAAGAAGAACTCACTTGTAAAGTTCCTTGCTCCCCACACAGTTGTTGAGGCCAGCGGCAGTGATGGTCGAAGTTAGAGACGCATTTATTACACGCAGAGCAGATGCTTTCGACTTCGGCAACCCCTGGAAATAACAACAAGTACATATTATTATATTACAGTATAAGTACTCACACACGTCCACCATGGCACAGGGTAGCAGTGGAGTTCTCAGTATTATAGTAGTATATAGTAGTAACAGTAGTATAAGTACTCACATGCCACGTCCACCTGGCACAGGTAGCAGTGGGAGTTCTCTTAGTATTTATGTAGTATAGAGTAGTAAACAGTAGTATAAGTACTCACACGTCCACCTGGCACAGGTAGCAGTGGGAGTTCTCAGTATTATAGTAGTATATAGTAGTAACAGTAGTATAAGTACTCACACGTCCACCTGGCACAGGGTAGCAGTGGGAGTTCTCAGTATTATAGTAGTATATAGTAGTAAACAGTAGTATAAGTACTCACACGTCCACCTGGCACAGGTAGCAGTGGGAGTTCTCAGTATTATACTAGTATATAGTAGTAAACAGTAGTATAAGTACTCACACGTCCACCTGGCACAGGTAGCAGTGGGAGTTCTCAGTATTATAGTAGTATATAGTAGTAAACAGTAGTACAAGTACTCACACGTCCACCTGGCACAGGTAGCAGTGGGAGTTCTCAGTATTATAGTAGTATATAGTAGTAAACAGTAGTACAAGTACTCACAGAAGCGTCCACCTGGTACAGGTAGCAGTGGGAGTTCTCTTAGTATTATAGTAGTATATAGTAGTAAACAGTAGTATGAGTACTCACACCGTCCACCTGGCACAGGTAGCAGTGGGAGTTCTCTTAGTATTATAGTAGTATATAGTAGTAAACAGTAGTATAAGTACTCACAACGTCACCTGGCACAGTAGCAGGTGGGAGTTCTCAGTATTATAGTAGTATATAGTAGTAAACAGTAGTACAAGTACTCACACGTCCACCTGGCACAGGTAGCAGTGGGAGTTCTCTTAGTATTATAGTAGTATATAGTAGTAAACAGTAGTATGAGTACTCACACGTCCACCTGGCACAGGTAGCAGTGGGAGTTCTCTTAGTATTATAGTAGTATATAGTAGTAAACAGTAGTATAAGTACTCACACGTCCACCTGGCACAGGTAGCAGTGGGAGTTCTCTTAGTATTATAGTAGTATATAGTAGTAAACAGTAGTATAAGTTACTCACAACGTCCACCTGGCACAGGTAGCAGTGGGAGTTCTCAGTATTATAGTAGTATAGAGTAGTAAACAGTAGTATAAGTAACTCACACGTCCACCTGGCACAGGTAGCAGTGGGAGTTCTCTTAGTATTATAGTAGTATATAGTAGTAAACAGTAGTATGAGTACTCACACGTCCACCTGGCACAGGTAGCAGTGGGAGTTTCTCAGTATTATAGTAGTATATAGTAGTAAACAGGTAGTATGAGTACTCACACGTCCACCTGGCACAGGTAGCAGTGGGAGTTCTCAGTATTATACTAGTATATAGTAGTAAACAGTAGTATGAGTACTCACCGACGTCCACCTGGCACAGGTAGCAGTGGGAGTTCTCAGTATTATAGTAGTATATAGTAGTAAACAGTAGTATAAGTACTCACACGTCCACCTGGCACAGGTAGCAGTGGGAGTTCTCAGTATTATAGTAGTATAGAGTAGTAAACAGTAGTATAAGTACTCACACGTCCACCTGGCACAGGTAGCAGTGGGAGTTCTCTTAGTATTATAGTAGTATATAGTAGTAAACAGTAGTATAAGTAACTCACACGTCCACCTGGCACAGGTAGCAGTGGGAGTTCTCTTAGTATAGTAGTATATAGTAGTAAACAGTAGTATGAGTACTCACACGTCCACCTGGCACAGGTAGCAGTGGGAGTTCTCAGTATTATAGTAGTATATAGTAGTAAACAGTAGTATGAGTACTCACACGTCCACCTGGCACAGGTAGCAGTGGGAGTTCTCAGTATTATAGTAGTATATAGTAGTAAACAGTAGTATAAGTACTCACACGTCCACCTGGCACAGGTAGCAGTGGGAGTTCTCGATGACGTGCCGGTGTTTGGAGCGGTCGAAGGAGGGGGGGGGGGGGCGCCCGGCTGCTCCTCGTCCTCACGCTGAGGTCGGCGGGGTCGATGGAGACGGCTGACAGGTGAAGAACCAGGTGAGACAGGAACATGACCCCCGTGCACTGAGACGCTCAGGAAGTATCATTCATATTAAAGTACTAATACACTGAGCAGCTCAGGAAGTACTACCTAATTCATATTAAAGTACTACAGGAAGTACTGTCATGATTTTAGGGGAAGACAGTACGACATCGACCCAGTTGCTTTACAATCTAAAATACATTCTGGAGTGTATTTTAATGACTGGAGGAGTTTTCCTCTAGAGGGGCCAGAGAGGCGGCCCTTAAGGAGGCACGCCTGGCCCACTCCAACGCTTCCCTGTCGTTGGTCTGGCCCTCTCCAACCCCCCGCGTCCTGTTCGTTGGTCCGGCCCACTCCAGCCCCCCCGTGTCCTGTCGTTGGTTCTGGCCCTCTTCCAACCCCCCGTGTCCTGTCGTTGGTCTGGCCCTCTCCAACCCCCCGTGTCCTGTCGTGGTCTGGCCCTCTCCAACCCCCCGTGTCCTGTCGTTGGTCTGGCCATCTCCAACCCCCCGTGTCCTGTTCGTTGGTCTGGCCCTCTCCAACCCCCCCGTGTCCTGACTTTGGTCTGGCCCTCTCCAACCCCCCGTGTCCTGTCGTTGGTCTGGCCTCTCCAACCCCCCGTGTCCTGTCGTTGGTCCGGCCCACGCAAGCCCCCCGTGTCCTGTCGTTGGTCTGGCCCTCTCAAGCCCCCCGTGTCCTGTCGTTGGTCTGGCCCTCTCCAACCCCCCGTGTCCTGTCGTTGGTCTGGCCCTCTCCAACCACCCGTGTCCTGTCGTTGGTCTGGCCTCTCCAACCCCCCGTGTCTGACTTTGGTCTGGCCCTCTCCAAACCCCACCCGTGTCCTGTCGTTGGTCTGGCCCTCTCCAACCCCCCGTGTCCTGACTTTGGTCTGGCCCTCTCCAACCCCCCGTGTCCTGTCGTTGGTCTGGCCCTCTCCAACCCCCCGTGTCCGGTCGTTGGTCCGGCCCACTCAAAGCCCCCGTGTCCTGTCGTTGGTCCGGCCCCTCTCAAGCCCCCCGTGTCCTGTCGTTGGTCTGGCCCTCTCCAACCCCCCATGTCCTGTCGTTGGTCTGGCCCTCTCCAACCCCCCATGTCCTGTCGTTGGTCTGGCCCTCTCCAACCCCCCGTGTCCTGTCGTTGGTCTGGCCCTCTCCAACCCCCTGTGTCCTGTCGTTGGTCCGGCCCACTCCAACCCCCCGTGTCCTGTCGTTGGTCCGGCCCTCCAACCCCCGTGTCCTGTCGTTGGTCTGGCCCTCTCCAACCCCCGTGTCCTGTGTCGTTGGTCCGGCCCATCAAGCCCCCACGTTCAGTCGTTGGTTTGTGTTGCTTTCAAATTCCCATACCTGCCTACCTTGTCTATTTACTGCTTTTGGGTCTGCACTCTTAAACCCTGACAAGTACTACCACTATCCTTCATATTAAAGTACTAATACACTGAGCAGCTCAGGAAATACTACCTCATTCATATTAAAGTACTATAGGAAGGACTACCTCTATCATATTAAAGTACTAGTACACAGAGTAAAGGATACGATGTACCCAGCGGGGAGCCAGTGGGGGGGCAGCAGAGGGACAAACACCCCCAGCCCGGTGACGGCGAAGAAGCCGAACAGCCCCCAGGCCAGCAGCTGCAGGGGGTGGGGAGGCCAGGACCATCCGTTAGTGCGGGGCGGGGGGACCTCTACCCGGGGGGGGGGGGGCGCCGTCAGGGACCGGGGCCGTCCGGTTCTTACTGCACAAATCCATCCTGAAACACAGTCAATCAATCAATGTTTATTTATATTGCAGGTCTCCCTTGAAAAAGAGATCTATGATCTCAATTGGACCAATCTGGTTAAATAAAGGTTTGAAATTAAATGAAATGAATATATCCCAATATTACAAATCTTGCATTTGTCTCAGTGGACTTTACAGTTTGTACAGAATATCAATACGACCCCCTCTGTCCTTTAGACCCTCACATCGGACAAGGAAACCCCCAGTTGATGGTAGAGACCCCAAAGTTAATGGGAGAAACCCCCCAGTTAATGACAGAAACCCCCAGTTAATGGGAGAAACCCCCAGTTAATGGGAGAAACCCCCAGTTAATGGGAGAAACCCCCCAGTTAATGACAGAAACCCCCAGTTAATGGGAGAAAACCCCCAGTTAATGGAGAAACCCCCAGTTAATGGGAGAAACCCCCCAGTTAATGACAGAAACCCCAAAGTTAATGGGAGAAACCCCCCAGTTAATGGGAGAAACCCCCCAGTTAATGACAGAAACCCCCCAGTTAATGAGAGATACCCCCCAGTTAATGGAAGAAACCCCCCAGTTAATGGGAGAAACCCCCCAGTTAATGGAAGAAACCCCCAGTTAATGAGAGAAAACCCCAGTTAATGGAAGAAAACCCCCATTTAATGGGAGAAACCCCCCAGTTAATGACAGAAACCCCCCAGTTAATGAGAGATACCCCCCAGTTAATGGGAGAAACCCCCCAGTTAATGGAAGAAAACCCCCAGTTAATGGGAGAAACCCCCCAGTTAATGGGAGAAACCCCCAGTTAATGGAGAAACCCCCAGTTAATGGAGAAACCCCCCAGTTAATGACAGAAACCCCAAAGTTAATGGGAGAAACCCCCCAGTTAATGACAGAAACCCCCCAGTTAATGAGAGATACCCCCCAGTTAATGGAAGAAACCCCCCAGTAATGGGAGAAACCCCCCAGTTAATGGAAGAAACCCCCAGTTAATGAGAGAAACCCCAGTTAATGGAAGAAACCCCCAGTTAATGGGAGAAACCCCCCAGTTAATGACAGAAACCCCCCAGTTAATGAGAGATACCCCCCAGTTAATGGGAGAAACCCCCCAGTTAATGGGAGAAACCCCCGTTAATGGGAGAAACCCCCAGTTAATGGGAGAAAACCCCCAGTTAATGGAGAAACCCCCAGTTAATGGGAGAACCCCCCAGTTAATGACAGAAACCCCAAAGTTAATGGGAGAAACCCCCCAGTTAATGGGAGAAACCCCCCAGTTTAATGACAGAAACCCCCCAGTTAATGAGAGATACCCCCCCAGTTAATGGAAGACAACCCCCCAGTTAATGGGAGAAAACCCCCCAGTTTAATGGAAGAAAACCCCCAGTTAAATGGGCGAAACCCCCCAGTTAATGAGAGAAACCCCCAGTTAATGGGAGAAACCCCCAGTTAAAGGGAGAAACCCCCCAGGTTAATGACAGAAACCCCCCAGTTTAATGAGAGATAACCCCCCCAGTTAATGGGAGAAACCACCCCCCAGTTAATGGGAAGAAACCCCAGTTAATGGGAGAGAAACCCCCCAGGTAAGGGAGAAACCCCCCAGTTAATGACAGAACACCCCCCCCCCCAGTTAATGAGAGATACCACCCCCAGTTAATGGAAGAAACCCCCCAGTTAATGGGAGAAACCCCCAGTTAATGACAGAAACCCCCAGTTAAAGAGAGAAAACCCCCAGTTTAATGGAAGAAACCCCAAGTTAATGGGCGAAACACCCCCAGTTAATGGGAGAAACCCCCCAGTTAATGAGAGAAAACCCCCAGTTAATGGGAGAAACCCCCAGTTAATGAGAGAAACCCCCAGTTAATGGAAGAAACCCCAGTTAATGAGAGAAACCCCCAGTTAAATGGAAGAAACCCCAAGTTAATGGGAGAAACCCCCAGTTAATGAGAGAAACCCCCAGTTAATGAGAGAAACCCCCAGTTAATGGGAGAAACCCCCAGTTAATGAGAGAAACCCCCAGTTAATGGGAGAAACCCCCCAGTTAATGAGAGAAACCCCCAGTTAATGAGAGAAACCCCCAGTTAATGGGAGAAACCCCCCAGTTAATGGGAGAAACCCCCCAGTTAATGAGAGAAACCCCCAGTTAATGGGAGAAACCCCAGTTAATGAGAGAAACCCCCAGTTAATGGGAGAAACCCCCCAGTTAATGAGAGAAACCCTCAGTTAATGAGAGAAACCCCAAGTTAATGGTCTCTGTGGGACTACTAAACCTGTGACCATCTGATCCCCCATACCAAGGCTCTATCCACTGCGCCACACGCCTCCCTTGTATCATGTTAATAACAACTCCATCCTGCAGACACAGTATGTATCACAAACCTGGGTACCTGGCTTTTTTATTTTTATTAAAATAATAATAAGTGGCGACCCTTTTTCATTTTTGATTGTTTGTTATGGTGGATTTGTAATATTTGTGTTACTGTATGTTCAATAAAGGTGTATTTTGCTCAATCTTGAGACATTGCCACTGTATGTACTGGCAGGGGCCGATTTTTGGCATAGGGGCGCTAGATCTGGGGGGCGCTGCGCTGGTAGCTCTGGGGGGGGAAAAAACATTTTTGACCGTTGGCGCTCATCCTAAATGTTGGCCTTGATGTAACAACATTCATAATTAAGTAAATGTAACACCCTGTTCACCCCGGTTACACTTTTCATTGCCCTGTACGATGGACGCTGTAAGTGATGAAAGTGGGGGATGTTGGCTTATCAGCCGCCGCAGCTCACAGCCAAAGTGCGAGAGAGAGTACCGGCGCTGTTGTTATTAGAATCTGGTGCTAGCTGCGCTAACGGATATAAGAAGTAGATGTTTCTACAAACCAGGGTGGAGGAGAGCTCTCCTGTCAGACTGAGAGGCTCAGTGAGGTAAAGGACTCTCTGAGGGTTTAGATAGTTCACTTTAGTCTCAGTTATCTCAGTGAGGTAAAGGACTCTCTGAGGGTTCAGATAGTTCACTTTAGTCTCAGTTATCTCAGTGAGGTAAAGGACTCTCTGAGGGTTCAGATAGTTCACTTTACTCTCAGTTATCTCAGTGAGGTAAAGGACTCTCTGAGGGTTTAGATAGTTCACTTTAGTCTCAGTTATGTCAGTGAGGTAAGGACTCTCTGAGGGTTTCAGATAGTTCACTTTAGTCCCAGTTATCTCAGTGAGGTAAAGGACTCCTCTGAGGGTTCAGATAGTTCACTTTAGTCTCAGTTATCTCAGTGAGGTAAAGGACTCTTCTGAGGGCTCAGATAGTTCACTTTAGTCTCAGTTATCTCAGTGAGGTAAAGGACTCTCTGAGGGTTCAGATAGTTCACTTTAGTCTCAGTTATCTCAGTGAGTAAAGGACTCTCTGAGGGTTCAGATAGTTCACTTTAGGTCTCAGTTATCCTCGTGAGGTAAAGGACTCTCTGAGGGTTTCAGATAGTTCACTTTAGTCTCAGTTATCTCAGTGAGGTAAAGGACTCTCTGAGGGTTCAGATAGTTCACTTAGTCTCAGTTATCTCAGTGAGGTAAAGGACTCTCTGAGGGTTCAGATAGTTCACTTTAGTCTCAGTTATCTCAGTGAGGTAAAGGACTCTCTGAGGGTTCAGATAGTTCACTTTAGTCTCAGTTATCTCAGTGAGGTAAAGGTACTCTCTGAGGGTTCAGATAGTTCACTTTAGTCTCAGTTATCTCAGTGAGGTAAAGGACTCTCTGAGGGTTCAGATAGTTCACTTTAAGTCTCAGTTATCTCAGTGAGGTAAAGGACTCTCTGAGGGTTCGGATAGTTTCACTTTAGTCTCAGTTATCTCAGTGAGGTAAGGACTCTCTGAGGGTTCAGATAGTTCACTTTAGTCTCAGTTATCTCAGTGAGGTAAAGGACTCTCTGAGGGTTCAGATAGTTCACTTTAGTCTCAGTTATCTCAGTGAGGTAAAGGACTCTCTGAGGGTTCAGATAGTTCACTTTAGTCTCAGTTATCTCAGTGAGGTAAAGGACTCTCTGAGGGTTCAGATAGTTCACTTTAGTCTCAGTTATCTCAGTGAGGTAAAGGACTCTCTGAGGGTTTTAGATAGTTCACTTTAGTCTCAGTTATCTCAGTGAGGTAAAGGACTCTCTGAGGGTTCAGATAGTTCACTTTAGTCTCAGTTATCTCAGTGAGGTAAAGGACTCTCTGAGGGTTTCAGATAGTTCACTTTAGTCTCAGTTATCTCAGTGAGGTGAAGGACTCTCTGAGGGTTCAGATAGTTCACTTTAGGTCTCAGTTATCTCAGTGAGGTAAAGGACTCTCTGAGGGTTCAGATAGTTCACTTTAGTCTCAGTTATCTCCGTGAGGTAACGGACTCTCTGAGGGTTTAGATAGTTCACTTTAGTCTCAGTTATCTCAGTGAGGTAAAGGACTCTCTGAGGGTTCAGATAGTTTCACTTTAGGTCTCAGTTATCTCAGTGAGGTAAAGGACTCTCTGAGGGTTTAGATAGTTCACTTTAGTCTCAGTTATCTCAGTGAGGTAAAGGACTCTCTGAGGGTTCAGATAGTTCACTTTATTCTCAGTTATCTCAGTGAGGTAAAGGACTCTCTGAGGGTTCAGATAGTTCACTTTATTCTCAGTTATCTCAGTGAGGTAAAGGACTCTCTGAGGGTTCAGATAGTTCACTTTAGTCTCAGTTATCTCAGTGAGGTAAAGGACTCTCTGAGGGTTCAGATAGTTCACTTTAGTCTCAGTTATCTCAGTGAGGTAAAGGACTCTCTGAGGGTTTAGATAGTTCACTTTAGTCTCAGTTATCTCAGTGAGGTAAAGGACTCTCTGAGGGTTCAGATAGTTCACTTTAGTCTCAGTTATCTCAGTGAGGTAAAGGACTCTCTGAGGGTTCAGATAGTTCACTTTAGTCTCAGTTATCTCAGTGAGGTAAAGGACTCTCTGAGGGTTCAGATAGTTCACTTTAGTCTCAGTTATCTCAGTGAGGTAAAGGACTCTCTGAGGGTTCAGATAGTTC